AAATCTCCTGTATAGCAACCTCTGCTGGAGGCAATAGGGAATGACCGTACATCTAGGACTGTCAGAGCAGCTCCAGTCCATATAGCAATCTTTGGTACTTAGTTCCCTTCTGGCAGGACTTCAGGACAATGTCCACCAGCAAAAATATCCTAAAGCAGTCTTCTCCGGACATTTCAGCCCAGCTCCTGCTGAGGCCCAAACTGCAATCTCTTGTCTCTATAACTCTTTCCTAAGGGCAGCAGCCTCACGAGAACTGGAACCCTCTGTTAGGGCTCTGTCCTTGGCAGAGGTGTTAGGAGACCTGGCAACCCTGCCAGTACCTTGCATGGCCGCAGAAGTTCACATTGGCTCAAATTTGGCTCCAAACGGCCTTTATAAGAAATCCCTGCCCTACTCTCAGGTGCTGGTTGATCTCTGGCTTCCAAGTACCTTGTTCCTGTTTCCTGTGCTATTGTGATCTGTGATTTCCTGATACAGACTCAGCTTGCTATTGGACCTGTCTGCTCTACTTAACCCCTGATCTGACCTTGGCTTGGCTAACAGATATTCCCTCTTTGCTCCTCTGTGTATGACCTCGGCTATCCCATCTGACTGCGTCTGCTCTGATTCCCACCTGGTACCTGACCTTGGCTTTGAACCGGCTATCCAGTAATCCTCTGTTCCCCGGAAGGGCTTGCATACCTCGCACAGGCGCCACCTGTCTGCAGACCTCATCTCAGTGCATCAGCTGTGCTCCTGGGTGGACCACCAACAAGCACTCCTACAGTCGACCTGTGCCACTTTGGGCCTGACTCCTGCTGTCCCACTCTCAGGGAAGTCTGGAACTTAGCCACAAGGGATGCCCTCTCTCCATTGGCCTCTCACACCAGGTACGTGACACCCTCCCTGGAGAGGAAAGAACACTCTGCCAGGCCTCCTGAACATTTATCACCTCCCTAGCCACCTTCTGAAGGCCTCCTTTCAGGGATTGGCTGGAGTATGATAAATATTTATGCTGGATATTTTCATCTCCCTGTCCTATATTCTGGAAGCTTCTTCCAGAAGCAGGTGAGAGAAATCAAACACCAAGCTCAGGAAACCTTGAACAGACAAAAACAATGAATCAATGCTCTACTCACTACAGTGAAGACAAAAACCAAACTTAACCTAGCAGCCTGACTAAAGAAGGTGTGTCAGGAATGGACTGGCCAGCAATGGTGGGACTCACCTGCCTTTTGATCTGCAGTACCAGGGCTGGCCAGCGGGTGCTCCCAGCAATCAGAGACTCAACCTTTCAGCCAGCTAACACCTGGAACTGATGATACTGGTGTATTTAAGGGATGGCCAGACTTGCAGACTCTGCCTTGGTGTTGTGTTTGTCCTGGGCCCTGTATCTGTCCTGCATCCTGTTTCTGTTCCTTTGCTGACCCTGCCTGATCTGAACCGCTGCTGACTTCTCCTGCTCTGATCCCGGCTCGCTCCTGACCATCCCCTCTGCCTGACCCTCTGTACCACACTGCTTGCTACCTGTTCTGATCCCTGGCTTGTGACCCTGACCATCCCTCTGCCTGACCCTCTGTACTATGCTGCTAGCTACCTGCTGAACCTGGCCTGTTACCCCGACCCATCTCCGCTTGCTCCCCCTGTACCTACCTGCCCTATTGATATTGACCCGGCCTGCCTGACGACGCTTGCTTGTATGTACTGTTATCTGCGGGTGGTTGGTTTGGTTTGTTTGCACTGTATTATGTTTTAGTATTGCACTGCGTTTATGTTTGTATGGTTAGTGTTAATAAATTATATTGTTTATCACATATCTGAAGTCTGTGTTTCCCTGCATCAGTCACACACCTCTGGTCACACCTGGGAGCCCTGACAAGGTGCTACACACAAATAGAAAAATCTTACCTAGTATGATGTCCCTTGTGTTGATTCTTCTGGTTTCAGTAGTAATCCTCCTCAGTCCTGCACTCCCCCACCCCTGCTGCCATAATCTTTTGGTGTGGTGGGGGTTAGTTCAACTAAAGAGCTATTAGAAACTCTCATCAATCGAGCCTGCCTATTACCACCATTTCCTGCCAGATCTGCCATTCACAGAAGCCATTCTACAGCATATATGAATGAGACAGGATCTCTGAATGAAGGGTGTGGACATGACCTATCAATCATCTGCCTGTCCAGCATGCATAGATTCTGTTCTATGAAAGATGGATTAGGCAGAAAGGACAGGCATAGTCATTTATAGAAAGATGTAGTATGGCTTCTGTGAAGGGCTGATCTGGCAGGAAAGGGTGGTAATAGCCACGTTTTCTCGATGAGAGCTCCTAACAGCCCTTTAAGTGTATTAACCCCCCCTACACTGGAATATTACAGTAGTGAGGGTAGGAGGTGCAGGACCAAGGAGGATTATTACTGAAACAAGAAGAGTCAACACAAGGGACACATCATACTAACTGTAAGTTATATCCCTTATGCTGATTTCTTCATTTGTGTTTTTGCCTGCAGTTAGGCTTTTTTTTTCTTAGAATCTTAGCTCAGAACCTGTGGTCTTTGCTGGGTATATAAAGTGGTCTACACATCTTCCTGGCTTGAGAGATGGGTTTTTTTGCAGAGAAATATTAAACAGTTGCTGTCCATGCTCTGCACAGAGAGGCACGGATAAGGTAAGACGCTAACATACTGGACTATGACATTGATATAATACTGGTATTCTCATCTGTAGCACATCTAGGACCTCCATGTGGTAATTTGTTAATTTAGAAATTCATGTTATATTACTATACTTATAATGGCCACAAGTTGGTATTTGTATTTTGAAAAACGAGTTTGATTTATTCTATTTTATTAGAGGTTACACCAGTCCATTTCATCCTAATTCATCTTATCTGAAGAGATATAGCTTCAATTTTGCAACAGAACTGAAAATTTACATTACATTCTACTTAATAGTTACATTTTAATTCTTGGTTATTATTTGGAAGAAAATGGACTAGTTAGAAAAAAGCTTCCTGTAATTTTCCTCATGCAACTTTTACGATATTGGCTTAGATCTAGACATCTACCCCAATAGAGCTCCCTGTAAGAGAACCAGAACATTCCTCTTGGCTTGGCACTGAACTCCTTGACCAGCACCAACACCTGTTGAGACCTGGTTCTGTTTTAAAAATGTGTTAGAGCAGAGATTTGCTGATACATACTGTTTAAAAGTGTCAACTGGAAGTAGAATAGTTAAAGTTTTTCAGCAATAAGAAACTGCACTGTTCTAACAGAAAACAAAGCATAAAATAGAAGAATATCCAGATGCGCGGAACCTTCAGCACACAACCTGCGGGACATAGACTTTCTTTCAATGAATGCAGAATATTTTTAAAACTGTTCACACTATACAGCCAAAAATATATTTTTTTGTAATTAACATTCCTTAATGGATAAATTTACTTTAAAACAAAGTGAATTTATCCTTTTTACCTCCTTTCCTCCTCCACAGATGCATACTTACCTCAATTCGGTATCCATAGTTTCCGCTGTTTGTTTATATCCAGCCCTGAGCTTTATAGCCCAATAGATCTTTGTGGATCAAACTTTGATCATCTCCAGCCTGGGAAAACAGCCTCTTAAAGGTCAATGGGGCTGTAATGTGCAAGCGCAGACAGGACAGAGAAGACTTACATAGCTGGATGCAAACTGTGCAGCTGATTTTGTCAGATTGAGGATAAATTGGCTATACACTATTGTATTCTGACAGGTGGAACCTGTGGCTGTTAGAATACCTGAACAATCGGTGCTTCTGATTGAATGTAGACATTGTTTGGCCAACATTCTTCCAACTGGCTTCCTTGATTTTCACATTGAAGAATGTGGAGTGATAGGATGCTGGCAGGGCCACCCACAGCTTGAATTTTGTTAACGAACCAAACCTAGGCAGATATGCGCATCTCTAATTATCAGCTTTATAAATATGGTGGGGTTAATTACTTATTGTGTTCCTTTATGCTTGCTTTCAAAGTATATCTAAAGTTAACATTGTTATTAATTTTGGATAGAGTAGGGAATGGTATATATCATCAGCAATTTATACAGTGCTTTACATACAGAATATTACAGTATATTATTATTATTATTATAATACAGGATTTATATAGCGCCAACAGTTTGCGCAGCGCTTTACAAAATTAAGGTAGACATTACAGTTACAATACAATTTGGTACAAGAGGAAACAGAGGGCCCTGCTCGTTAGAGCTCCAGTATATATTACATTCACATCAGTCCCAGCTCTCAGGAGCTTACAATCTAAGGCTGTTAACTCTCATTCATACATACACATACTAGGGCCAATTTATATAGGAGAAAATTAACCTAGCAGCATGTCCTTGAAGTGTGGGAGGAAACTGGAGCACCCGGAGGAAAACCCATGCAGGCACAGTAAGAACATGCAAACTCCAGGCAGGTTTTAGGCTAGGTTAACACATTCAGGCGCATTTTGCGTGGACACGGCAGCCCATTCATTTGAATGGGCTTCCGTGCCTCCTGAAACACATGGAAAGGGTCCCTGTAGCATTTTAGAAATCGCAGCTCGCACTGGAACTGCAAGTGCATTTGCAGTTCTCAGTGCGAGAGCTATTTCCAGTGCATGCAGCATGTCATGATTAATAACACCCGTGTGCATCCAGCACATTTTTCTGTGTGGGTGGTTGTGGCTGTGGAAACAGTTGCAGACCCGAAGCAGGAACCACCCGCACAGATGTGAACCTAGCCTTAGAGATTTTTACAAATCTAATACTTGTGTTGGTCTCATTTTGATCCAACAGAACATGTTTTAATGTATCTTCTTATTCTTTTACTGCATATTTCTTATTACCTTACAGCTCTAGTTACATTCTTTTTTCGTGCATTAGTAACATGTAGGAAAGAAATTAAACCTTCTCATCAGACTCATTTTGTTCCCAACAGCTCACATTACTAAATCCTCTCCAGTATTTTGCAGAGAGTCTTTTATTCTTTCCTCTGCTATCCGGGAGTGATGGAAACCAGTGGTTACACTGCTAGACTACACTCTACACCTATGCACACCAGCCATGGCTATGAGCAGGTGACAGGAGGGACGGAGTTACAGAACAGCCCAAGCCAGCAGATCCAATCCACTGTGGTGACAATAGCGCTAGAGGAGCCCCCTGTCCGAGATCACATTATATGGTCGCTCTTCAATGCCATGTATATGAACGTCTTCTGCCTCGGATTCATCGCTCTTGTATATTCTGTCAAGGTAAGATGGAGTCTTCAGGCTTCATGTCAAGAATTTAAAGTTTTTGTTTTGCCCACATTCTGCGGAAACAGATTTGATTTAATTGAGCAACTTTGAAACTTGGCAATTCATCATTCTGATTAAAGTGGGTGGTGATTACCAATTCATATTTGTTTTCAGTGAACAAATCACCTTTGATTTAAGATCTCTTCCACCTAACTCATACTGCAGAAAAGTTACAGTCATACAGTTAGGTTGGCCATAAATGACTTGATGATGATAAGTCCTGATTTTGCTCATGATTGAACCATATGTGATTTCCTTGGTTTCTGGCAGTCGGCAACACTAATCAAAGAGAGTTTACAGCTTGTTGGAACATTTTCCTCTGATCAGGCCTGATGATCCTTGGATGGGAAGAATAAAATACTGAATGTGCACACTAATGTGCAAGAATCAAAATGGCACCAGATCTCAAAGCAACTCAATGACCATACACATAAATAATGGTTATTCTTTGATTTTAACACTAGTCCCAGATCACTCAATTTAGCAAACGTTTATAAAACATTTTAAACATGCTTTAAATAGGTTTCTTAAAGCATTCTTCAGCTGCAGACTGGACTTGTTAAATACACACTTTAATGGGGGTGCTTTAAAGGGAACCTGTCCCTGGGGAGAAGCTAACCCGACTTCTCGAGACTACTCTCATTTCTCTAGGGCTCATAAATGTTATTCCCGTATTGATCATATATTCCTCCATACACGTTCACTTTCTAGACTTTTTACAGTTAAAATTCTTTTTACACCTTGGTCCGACCATGACCCGGTTCTTTTGATACTTTCGTCTTGGACACATGGGAGAACTGCTCCTCATTGGCGCCTTAATGAATCTCTCTTGGGTAACGCTTCTTATTGTCTTGATATCTCCACACATTTGAAATTGAATTTTGAAATGAATAAGGCAGATGACACGACTCCAGCTGTTAATTGGGCGGCTTATAAAGCATCGGCCAGGGGGTTTCTTATTCAACTGTCTTCACGACTTAAAAAGACTAAATCTCAAGTGTATACTGATTTTGTTGCCCAACATAAACAGACTCCTGATCCTGCTCTATTGGTTAAACTTGACCAGGCCCAATTGGAACTTAATTTGTGCCTTACTACAACGGCGGATAAACAGTTACGTTGGGCTAATCACACATTTTTCACTTGGAGGGACAGACCAGGCACCCTATTAGCGCGCAAGCTGTCTCCTAAACATTCTCATATGGCTCTTCCTAAAATCAGACTGACTACTGGTGCTTTATCTCAGGATCACAGTAAGATCCTCCAAGAGTTTCATTCCTTTTATACTGATCTTTACCGTTCACCTCGAGGGGACATTTCCTCATCTACCAACAGTTTCCTGAATTCCATGACTCTTTCTTCTTTTCAGGAGGCCCATTGAGAATTAATGGATCAGCCTATCGCTTGCAAGGAGATTCAGAACGCCTTAAAAACCTTAGCTCCACATAAATCCCCAGGACCGGATGGCCTTCCTGATTCCACATATGACCCATTATTTTAATTATTTACGAGACGCGGGAGTGGTGCCTTCTGACGAAAATAAAGTGTTCATTAGTGTCATTCCTAAGTCCAATAAAGAAACTACTGCTGTCTCTAATAATCATCCTATCTCCTTGATTAATTGTGATCTCAAGATTCTCACTAACGTTTTGGCTTTACACCTTCATAAAGTTTTAGCTCATTATATTCATGATGATCAATCAGGATTTATTAGCGGTCGACAAACACTTGATCAAATTCGTCGAACTTTGGCACTATTGTCAGCTGTACAATCTAATTGGGACAATTGCTTGTTGAGGGAAGTTCTGCTGTTGTCTTTAGATCTCCATAAAGCTTTCGACAGCCTGCCTTGGGATTATTTATTTCAGATGTTAGGTGCATTTGGGTTCAGCTCCTCCTTTTTTACTTTGTTGTTGGCTCTGTATTGTAATTCTTCAGCCCGGGTCTCTATTCATGGATACAAATTGCTCCTCTGTCTATTGGGAGAGGTACTAGACAGGGATGCCCCCTTTCCCCTTTACTTTTTGCATTAGCAATGGAACCACTTGCTATTGCTATCCGTTCTGACCCTGCTATCTCTGGTATCTACTGTGGCCAACTAGATCATAAATGTGCCTTATTTGCTGATGATGATGTCCTTATGTATGTGTCTTTACCTAGTCTCCTCCATTTACTTCACCGTTTTTCTATTGCCTCAGGTCTTACTCTGAATTCCTCTAAAACAATTTCTTTGCCCACTTCGGAGGTTTGGTATCTTCGGGACAATTTCGATTTTCAATGGGCCCCCCGCTCTCTTCCCTATTTGGTGATCCATCTCACGAGCTCTAGTTCATCGATATATCGTGCTAACTACCCCCCTCTTTTTAAACGACTCAGGACCGATTTACATAATTGGGCAGATCTCCCTTTATCCTGGTTTGGTAGAATCAATCTTTAGTTATCATCAAATTATGTCTTTTGTCACTAGCAAACTTAAATTACTAACGGAACCCTGTACGCTCACCCCTCTCGAGGTCTCCTGTGGGGCTATGGGGACGGTGAAAGGTCGTCTGTCTAATATATATGCTTCCCTTGTTGATCCAAATATTAAGCTCCCTTATATGGTACATTGGGAAAGGGATTTAAATATTTCTCTGGAGCTAGACACTTGGCGGATCATGGCTGATGCTAAAATCTAAAATCTCGATTAACACTACACTCATTGAATCTAACTACAAAACGCTTCTTCCGTGGTATTTGGTTCCTACACATCTTGCTAAAATGTACCCTTCTGTGTCACCCAGCTGTTTTCAACATTGTGGACAAGAGTGTACTATGCTCCACATATGGTGGAAATGCCCTGTGGTGACTAGGTTTTGGATCTGTTTATTTAACTTCCTTTATTTGGTAAAGGGGGTAAATATGCGTCGATCCCCTATTTCATTTATTGCCCACTGATATTCCTAAGAAATAGGTTAAACTGATTCTTTATATCCTGTTGGCGGCGAGCATTACGATAGCCAAAACGTAGGAAACAGTCAACAATTTCGCTGGTATTAGTTAAGCAGAAACTTAATTGGATTATGATTAATGATAAACTTACTAGTATACTTAACAACAATACTTCTAAATTTAAGAGCACTTGGGATCCATGCATTCGGTATATTTCTGCTATGTAACGGACTCTTGGCTGGCCCTCTCTCTTATTTTTTTTTCTGGGTTTTATTCTTTACTTTCTTCTTCAGTTCTTTCCTCATTTTTTTGTTCTCTATATTTTTGTCTATTATTTTAATGATATTATTCATACCACCTTGTTTATGGAGCAATTTGCTCATAATCGACCAAACTTTGTTTATGCTACCAGTGTATTTCTCATTACGCTCTCCTAGATTGTAAGCTCCAAGGAGCAGGGCCCTCGAACCCCTCGTGTATTGTACTGTATTGTTACTGTACTGTCTCGTGTACTGTCTCCCATTGTAATGTACAGCGCTGAGCAAACTGTTGGCGCTATATAAATATTGTATAATAATATTGGTCGATTCTGTTATTAGTTGCTACACATTGTACTTGAATTTATTGTCTTATTGTTTATGTTTTGCAACTCATCATGTTGGTGGGTTTCATCTCCATCTTTCCGTATAATGTTTCTAAAAATTCTTAATAAATACATTGAAATATAAAGGGAACCTGTCACCAGACCTCAATTGTTAAATGAATCCTTTAATCAGTAGAGGATAATAAGCACTTGCTTGTTTTTCCATGTTTTAAAACTTTTTTCATGTTGTGACCGATGTAAAGTTTGAATATTCTTTCTTCCCATCATTGATTCAACTAATTTAATTTCATTTGGAAGCCCTTAAGGGTCCATGCATGCTGGGCTTACAAAAACGCAAGTTCTTTTGGCCCATATAGAGCAGTTTTGTACACACAGACAATTTAAACAGGTTTCATTACAATGTGTATGATTTCTTCCTGAATGAAAATCACATTCACACTTAGAATGTTTGTTTAACCTCCCTGGCGGTCTAATTATGTCAATATTTTTGAATGTCAAAGCGGTACATAGTTTTTCATGTAAAGTTGTTTTTATTGTGGGCCTGTAATTTTTAGGAATAACTCACTTAAATCTGTCCAAACAAGAGCCTAGTAATCATCCCGGGTATGATAAAGTTTGAAACACAATCATAAATTATAATGTAATAAATATTTATAAAATATAATAATAAATTTAATTCAATAATGTAATCAAACCAAAAACACTGAAATTTCAAATAGAGCACCAAGTTTGCACATCACTGAGCTCAGTCGCAGAATCGTCGCTGTCTTCACTTTCAGTGTCTAATGACAAATTTCCCCACGAATCACTATTGCTCAATTCTGCAAGTGATTCTAATTCACTGTCGCTGTTTTCTTGCTGGTCTAAAAACACTTTTGATCTAAAGGGATGCTTTTTGGATGCCATGGACGTTCTAAAGTTTCCAGACAGAAAGAACAGTGAAAGTGCAGGCAGGGCACTGGACAAAGCACTAGGGGCAAAACTGAGGTGAAATGGTTTGATACAGTAATGTACTCCTAACAGATTACAATGTATTGTGTGTATGTTATATTTTGTTTACGCCCTGTAATGACACTCGCCCAAAAAGGGGTAGACATGTGGACGGGGGCCATCCGGTTACGTCACCTGGACGGCAACAGTCGTGTTCGCCGGATGGCAGGTTATTTTTTTTCAGGTCGACATTTTTTTTTTTAATAAAGAACTTGTCAAAAACTGTTGTGTTTTTATTAACTTTGATTATTTTTTGGGGGTGAATAAGTAGGGGTACTGTGTACCTCATACTCATTCACATAGGAGGGGCCAGGATCTGGGGGCCCCCTTGTTAAAGGGGGCTGCCAGATTCCAAAAAGTCACCTCCTGCAGACCCCCACAACCATCGCCCAGGTTTGTGGGGAAGAGGCCCTTGTTCCCATCAACATGACACAAAGTGCTTTGAGAAGGGGGGGGCCCTTCCCCTAAACACCCCCCCATGTGGCCTGGTATGGTTTGGGGGGATGCTCGCTCAGCTAGGCTGCATGCTTGAATAAGGGTCTGTTGTAGAATGTTTTTTTGGGGGGGCATTTTTTAAAAACATTTTGGCGTGGGGTTCCACTTTACAATCCAGACCTGGAGGAGCAGAGCCAAGGCACTAGAGATCTCCCTGTTCTCTCTCTCTCCATCCTCTCATTCTGTTGCCAGTCTGTGTGTGGTCCTAGGCTATGGCCGGGCCCACACTGACCCCCCCCTCCCCTCCAGGACCCAGTGAATCATGCCGAGGACTTATCCCCTGCCATCCTGGAGTGCTGCCCATCTTTCCCATTGGGGAAGTTTACCTTTACTTTTTCTCCCATAGTCAAAACAGGAAGTGAGAGGAAATCCCTACCAATTCATTGAATCTCTTGGGCCCCCCCCCAGGTTTCCAGAACCAGTGTACCCACTAGAAAATTTCCACTTTATTACTGTTTATTACTGTCCAGAGGACAACCGAACATTTGGGATTTTATTTTACTTTCACTGTCAATAAACAAGACAAATAGAGAGGGTGATTCTCCCTAATGGGGGCACAGACAACAATAAAAACCTCACAGGTGTTCTAATCCACCTCCTCTCTTATCTAAAGCCAAAGAAAATTCCTTTAGTTAATCAATCCCAATGATTTTCATATTATCATATTTAGGTTTCTATGCATTACTGTTGAACTAAATTATCCAAACAGGTAGAGACTCCAGATTGGCAATTGTAATTTTACATTCCTTAAATACTGCATGCCTAGGCCACTACTTAATTACCACATGCATTTAATTATTTATTTCCTTTTGTGAATTGATTTTAATGCCTTTTCATGTGGTAAATACCATAGTAAATTGACAACTTCAGGATCGCATGCGGTATTTAGCAAAAATGTGTCTGGACACCAAAATACTGCATGTGGTCTGCTTTAGTGAATGGAGCCCAGTGTCTCCCTAATCCTTTTGCTGTCACCAATGTAAAGCCATCCATACATGGATTAAAATCCAAATAGTTCAGCAGGAACTGGCCTAATTTCAATACATGTATGGGCACCCTAGTTGTACAAAAGTCGCTCTGTCAATCGACTTGTGTACAACCGCCTGTTGGATTTTTCCTGAACAATTAGTGCTATAGCCGGCAACACTAATCATTGTGTTCTGCTGGCAGGGAAGGCTCCCTGCCAGCAGAACACAATAGCACTGCAGGAGGGATTCCCCCATATCAACACTGACTGTGTTGATGGGGAAATCGAGCAATTTGTTTCCTTCTACTCATGGTGGAATATATTATATTATATGTTATATATTGCCGCACACACCAGAGATAATTAATTGTAGGGCCATTATTTATGATTAACTGTAAACCGATGACCTGTAAGACCTACAGACAATATAGTGCATGTTTGTTGTTGTGCCATTCCACAGACACGTAAAATTGTATTGCTTAAGTGGTTTTTTTGCATAATTTCATTTAACTTGGGATACAGCCCTGTAAATCTTTATAGCAAATTTCAGACACTTTATAAACTCCCTTTTGCCCCTGGCGTGCAATTACTTTGCTCAGTTCATGCTGTGAAAATTCGCCTTAGGCTGCAATGCATATTGGCAGTGTTGCAATTTTATATGGCAGGTCACTTTTATAACAGGCTTTCTACTCTCTATTTTTACGGAAGTTCCTCCACTCTCTATTTTTACGGAAGTTCCCTAGTGCCTATTAACATTCACAATATTCTAATATGACACTTGATTCTTGCTTTATCATAGCAAATATCAGATGTGCTTTTCATTTTCCTATTTTTCTTTTTTATGTTTTGCAGTCCCGGGACAGGAAGCTGCTGAAAGACATGAATGGTGCAACCGGCTATAGTTCCATGGCCCGGAAATTAAACATCGCTACCACTGCGGTTTTTATTTTCATTGGTATTATCATAGCAATCGCTTTTATTGTTTCTTCAACTGCATCATACAGCTACGCATATGGATACAGATATAGAAATTGGTAACAGCTCAAAGGCTGTAATTCCTAAACATCTTTTGGCCTCTTTTTCTTTTCAATTCTATCTCCTCTTTTTATACCTCTGAATGTTGGATCAAAATGTTATTACACTAGCTGCGAGGTTTATAATCTGTAAAAGGGTATAATGTTAGTTTGGCATTCACTTTATAATGGAAAAGGTGACAAATGTGACAACAATGAATAGCTAATGCTGTCTCCTTAGCTCCTTAGGATCCATTCACATGTGGTCTGAACATGCAGCTGAACAAGTTTCAAAGCAGCTGTCAGAGCCTCGATTAATTTCTATGACTGACTGGAGAAATCATTCAGGCATGTTAGGGATTAATTTATGGATGGGGCTTGGGGGTTAGATGTGCACTGCATGATGCTATCTGTATGGGGACTCACAGCTGTTGAAGCTGGTCTAACTGTGGTGAAGGGTAACAGCAGTGTCCCCCATCTAGAGACATTTCCTCATGTGAATGGACCCCGTGAGCATCCATCTACTCAGATCTGAGAGATTGGTAATAGACCTGCATGGATTTATTGCCTATGAAATACAGATGTCCTGAAAGCACTTATTGGTTTCCTTCACACCAGTAAAAAAAAGAGCAAATAAACATGCCAGTTACCCAGCTCATTCATGTCAATCTAATTCAGTGGACCATACTGTTCTACTTCTTTAAAGTGAACTAACAAAAGATGTGCTATATTACTAAAAAAGCTTTTGTGCCTCTCTTGGATTTAGTTTTATGTTGTACCATGAGGCCTGAATTGATGGCTTAGCCAACTGCCTTTAATATGTCTGCCGCAAAAGCCACTGTTCTAATTGGGCAGCAAGAAGGCAACCAGTGACCCTATGTCACCAAGCCAGGCTAAATCAGATATCAATGAAGTACAATTAAAACTAGCTAAAAATATTTGTCTTTGCTTACTAAATGTAATAATTGCCATTTTGTAATATCTGTGTATAGGCAAGACTTTTAAAGTTTAAATCAGAATACTGGTGTGCTGAAAAGTAATAGTTAGTATGATGAAAAATATAGACTCCGCCTCTTCTTTTTCTTTATATCCCTTTATAAAAGTTGTTTGCAACTTTGTTCTAATCCAACGGTTGTTTTAAAGTTTTTGATGTACTTTATTTTATCTTTCTTTATAACCAAAGTTTAATGGCTGTTGGTCATCACCTTTTACATACATAAAGAGGTCAATGTACCAAATGTTTTTCTATTTGCTTAAAAATAAAACTGATAATAAACTTGTATCTTCAAAGTGCTATTTTCATAAATGCATGATAGTTTTCTTCAGACTTTGCAGCTTTTCCAAGAAAATATGTATTTTTGATACAAATTCTATTGTATTTTAACAAAATGTTGCATATTCAGTAAGAAAGGCTGTGTGTTGTAAAATCATGACAATCAGAAGTTAGTTTGTTCTGTTTGGTTGGTGTATTAAGATGAATACTACTTTCATTTTTCTGTAATCCTAACTTTTAAATTCTAAATTTTAATTTGATGAAGTATGGCAAAAGGTTGGCTTTGTTGGCTTTATATCTCATTGTAACAGTTGTTTCACAACTTGTTTTCTTTGGCAACACTTTCTTGGTTAGAACTGTTTTCTGTTTGTTATTGTGGTTTTGCAATATTCTTAACAATGGCATGCTTAAAAAATAAAAAAATTTGAGTATATCCCAATATGCCAACAATGAGTTGACAAATTTGTTATGTGCTGTATCAAACCAAAGAGGAATGGGGAAGATCCTTGCAACAGGAATAATGTTTAGAAGATCTTGATATAATAATAAGAAACTGGTGCACTAACATAATGGTAAAGCAGGAGAAAGATAATTAAAGCAATTCTAAAGGTTCATTTTTTTTACCTGCTGTGTGCAGTGGTTTTGCACAGAGCAGCCTGGATCCTCCTCTTCTTGGGTCCTCCGCAAGGTCTCCTGGCTCCTCCTGTCTGTCGGGTGCCCGCACAACAAGCAGCTTGCTATGGGGGCACCCACTTCTGCATGTGCCCATTCACACACGCAGCCGCAGCTTGGCCCTGCACCCTCTCTGTCCTCATTGGCTGACTGGCAGTAATTGACAGCAGTGGGAGCCACTGGCTCGTGCTTGCTGTCTCAGCCAATGAGGAGGCAGAGACCCGGGACAGCCGAGGCTGTCATTCACATTGCTGGGTCACGATGAGGCTCAGGTATGTATTGAGGGGGCTGGGGGAGCTGCTGCACACAGAAGGTTTTTTACCTTCATGCATAGAATGCATGAAGGTAAAAAATCTTCAGCCTTTTCAACCACTTTAAGCCCCTTGCACACTGGAACACAGGGCTCTGGCATTTAGCGGAAAGTGGAGGGCAGAGGTGTCTCGCCGTACTCTACTGCTGGCAGCCTGTCAAACTCTATGAGAGGCTGACAGCTGCTGCGGCTGCATGAGGCTGGATAGTGCATCTAGCAGTAGAAAAGATTGGAGCCGACTTCTTGTGTTCTGAGCATTTGTCCCTGAGCGCATACTATCCTAAAATTTTGTGCCATTAGGTGCCCCATCCATTCACAGATGCTGTTGCCTCTCACAGATTTTGACAGGCTGCCACACCTGTGCCCTCTGCTTGCAGCTAAACATCAGAGACCCATGCAACAGGGCTAAACACCCAGCGTGCATGGGTCCTAAGTGATGCTTATGTGTGAATGTGTCTAAACGTAAACCAAATGAGATGCAAATACAAACATAATGTAGTGCTAACCCCTGTTCAGATGCTGCCAACCCAAATACCAGTTCCAAAGCTGGATTTTTCCTAGATTGTAAGCTTTAACGAGCAGGGCCCTCTGTTTCCTCTTGTACCAAATTGTATTGTAACTGTAATGTCTACCTCCATTTTGTAAAGTGCTGCGCAAACTGTTGGTGCTATATAAATCCTGTATAATAATAATAATTTATTGCAGTAACTGAACACAGGTAGAAGGATGACAGTGCAGGATACTTCAAAACACACAAAGGCATTAAAGGCCAGATTCTCAAGCAACCACTTTAGTAGCAACCTTAAAAATCACTGGATGTAGAGGGTGTCACGGATCGCAAGATCGCCGCCACCAACATGCAACAATCTCACGATCGCGACCACCAAATACGTCATGATCGCAGCGTCAGACCCCAGACCTTCTCACCAAACTCGTGACTGAAGGACTGGCCGATATAAAGCCGTGATGTCACGTGCATAACAATGCCACACCCAGCTGCACCCTGCACGATTTTCCAGCTAATGGACAACAATCTATGTACCGGCAGCCTGAATGTGCTTGTTACTGGGTCAGGTTAATTACGCAACTAACCCTTCTTCACACTGCCACCACCTCCTTTTTCTCAGAGAAAGAGGAAACTCGGGGTACAGCTATAACACTATAATGATTGAAATAATTGTCTGTATAAAACGGTCCACAGGCCGGTTATACAGAGGTTAAAACAAACAGTAGCATTCTTTTAAAAGGCAGGGATTCGTAAATTGCAATTGAGAGCTTATAGAAACAGTTCAACACTTTCAGAAGGAAAGATTTATTACTAAAAGGTCAAACGGGTGCAATAAAAATATTTACAGAAAAAGATGTAACTAAAATATATATATACATACTGTATATAAAGAACCATAGCACAGCAAAGAGATAATAGGAAGGAAGTTAAAGGGTTAAGTTACTTGCCAGTACGCCTTGGTATGTAAGCAGATCCAAGTTGCAGAGCGAAAGGGTCTCCCCAGGTGGTATTGATGTTAAAATGGGAGATGTCTTTAACTTAACTCACTGAGGCCTGCTAGCCTGTTTTTAAAATGTCCCAGCAGGGGGGTGGCTCTGAGTAACTGACCAATACTCTGTTTACGGAGGAGGGTTCATCGGCGGAACCCTAAATTAGAACCAACATCTTTCATAATTCATATTCTGGTCTATAACTTCTCAGCTGCACGAGCGATAGTCCCCTCGTGGGTATATTATTACACAGACAAGTCTGAGGATTATTTAGATATGAATTATGAAATTATATGCTGCATGGTTCACGAGATCTATGTTTCTGCTTCCCTGAGCGTGCGAAACAAGTTGAGTGACCTATTAAACGATTCGCCTGCTCATCACCCATCCGATGATATGTCTGGCTTTTATGTATGTCTCTCATATTCCAAGATATGAGGCATAGGATAAAAATTGATTTGAGGAATGTTCATTTAATTCTGTCACCTACGCTGCTAGGTTTTATGAGGTTAAAACCTCTTTCAATTCCTGGGAAAGCTACCTTATCTCTGTTACGAGGTGAGAAATTACACAGGTTCTTGGGCAGAGAGGTTCTGTCTCTCTTGGGGGGCTTTGTAGCTCTGGGCCCCCTGCTGCTCTAGCCTGCCAGTGACCCACAACCAGATGTCGCTGTGTCTGAACAGAGAGGAAAGGGGGGAGGATGAGGGAAAATATATTTCAGGATGGTTAGTCCCTTCGCCAAGATGGAGGTTGAAACCAAAATGGTTGAACCGCATCCATCTCTGATGCACGCTTTTGCGTCAGAGGGGACAACCAGTTATTCTAAGACATTGTAAGAGCAACCACAGTCCTTGTAACAACCTCCAACATCTAACTCTCAAAGCACAGTCACACCTGGAACTCTAGGCAAAAGGTCCTACTTGCATTGTCCACATTGCTCCCCTGCAACACTCTCCAGCCCAGCTTTCACAGGTGAAGTTTTCCAGCAAGTTTCTTTAGGTCCGGATTCCTTCAAGGCACTAAGCCAAGCACATGCTGAGGCCTAACAGCAACAGCTCCCAGGTCAGAGACTTCCCAAACATTTATCTTCTTCCCAGTAACAAGGTAATGGAATTTATAAAGATGGAAAAGGGCATAAAAAGATGTCCAAAGCCTTGAATATGCCAATCAGTACTGTTAAATCACCTAATATGAAGTGGAAAGTTCGGGGATCTCTTGATACCAGGGGCGGACTGACCATTTTGGGCTCTCGGGCGCTGCCCGAGGGCCCAGGGTCAGTAAGGGGCCCCATGAGATGTCCC